CGCTTCGCGAGCGGTCGGAGCGTCCAAACCGGCCTCGGCGAGGAAGCTACAATCATTGGTTTTACTAGGGTTTAGGCCCCATTTTGGATTGTCTTAGGGAGGCTCATTACAGCTTCCCCCTTCTTTGATCGATCTCCTCCAAGATGGCCCCACGAGCGCTCCCAAGGTTCCCAAGGGTGCCCCAAGAGGGCCCCAAGAGGTGGCCAGGAGGCCCCAAGAGGCCCCAAGAGGCTTCCAGGATGCCCCCCAAAGGCTCCCAAGAGACCCCCAAGAGGCCTCCAGAGGCACCTAAGACGCTCCAAGAGGCCTCGGCGAGAATGCAGAATCATAGATGTTACTAATGTTTGGGCCACATGTTGGCCTCCTGGGGGGGGGCACTGATTAAGTTGACTCCAAGAGCGCCTGGGAGAGCCCAAGATGACATCCAAGATGGCTCAAGATATCCCAAGATGGCTCCCACGATGCTCCAAGAGACGGCTCCAAGTGGCCAAAGAGCTCCCCCAGGAGGCCCCGAAGAGGCCAAAATCCTTCCAAAACCTTAGGAATGTGTTTGGCTTTCCCGCCTTTTCGCTTCCGATGGCCATCCGAGGCCTCAAGATGGCTCCAAGACGTCCCAATAGGGCTCCAAGAGCGCTCCCAAGGCTCCCAAGAGCGCTTCAAGAGGGCCCCAAGAGGCGCCCAGGAGCCCCCAACAGGCGCCCAAGAGGCCGCCAAGAGGCTCCTAAGATACCCCCAAGAGGTCCCAAGAAGCTCTCCGAGGCACCCAAGACGCTCTAAGAGGCGTCCGCGACCGCCAAGAGGCCCCCAAGACGCTCCAAGAGGCCTCCACTAGGGGACCCTTACTCTGTGTGCTGCCCACTTCCCTGATCGAGGCAATTCCTCTGGGCATCGTTTCTGGATGAGCTGGTGGGGTTAATTTTTCGGTCGCGTCCGCGAGCGAAGGCGCAGGCGGAGTCAGAAGCTGTCCGGGGCGCGGAAACAGGCCTAGCTGGTGGGGTTACTTTTTTGATCTGCGGCTCAAAGGACGACTCAAGAGAGCGGGTCAATCTCGACAGGGGCGCAATGCGAGACGATTGGCAACGAAGGCACATAGGCCAACGCCGCAATGCACGTGCGAGGGACAAAATTAACCTCGCTGGTGGGGTTACGCGAAGCATCAAGAATTATAAAGAATGGAGGAGGAGGAGGAAGGAGATGGATAACAAGGAGTTGCGAGGAGGAGGTGGGGGGTGGGGAAGATGCGGAGGGGGAGGACTGTGTAGAATGAAGGGGAGGTGAAGAACGAGGGGGATGGGGGGAGGAGGGAGGAGAGGGGAGGCAGGCTCGAGCGACCCACGGAGGAGGAGGACGAGGAGGAGGAAAGGGAGGAGGAGGACGAGGAGGAGGAAAGGGAGGACGAGGACGGCGCGGGGGGCCTTTGAGTACTATCCAGCGCAGGAAAACTCGGCGCGCAAAAAAAACTGCGAGCTTCTGGGAGTGAAGCGCTGTCAAGACGACAACTAAGAAATGCTTCGCCTTGGACACCCAGGCGAACTCTCTGGCAGCACCTTGAACAAGCGCGGGGCCAGCCCCACCCCTGCGGCCCCGCGCGTGTGCGCATGAGCCTGGGAACCCAGATTCCCGGGAGCTGCCGCTGAAACGCATGGCCAACGCCAGGCCAAGTATTAACAAAAAAACGCTCGGAAACGAGTGCCCATGGAAACGACGGGCCAACTTCCTGGGAGCCGCCGACGAGGCGAGGGGTGTTCTTCTGACGACCGGCGCAATGTCTGCGGTGCGCGAGAAGGGGAATAGAAGAAGAAACGGTGCATCAAACATCAATTTTCGGAGGTCCGACCTCTTCTCTGGAGCTCCTCTCCCTCAAGTCGGGTGCTGCACGAGGTGCCCCTGGCCCAAGGTGACTCCAGGATTTCCAAGGTCCCACACGGCCTCTGGAGCACCCCTCACGAGGCCCAGAAGGCCCCAGGGGCTCCAACATTGAACGAAAAGCTGTGGCGCCCTGTGCCAGGGGCACCTTCAGCGACCCCCGATCCAGGATGGAAGCCATACCCCCAAAGCGGGGGCTTTCCTATCCTCTGGAGGGGGGCGCCCAGAGCAGAGCGCCTTGGCCACGCCTCAGAGGGTGGCCAGCCCTGGGCACCTTGTGCAGAAGCTCCACGGGCCGTCCCAGTCCGCCCCCCTCTCGAGCGTGCCCCTCCAGGAGCACCACGGGGCCTTGATGCAAGAAGAAGAAACAGCACCACAAGCATACACTTTCGGAGCTCTGCGCGGCTCTCTTGGATCGGCGCTGGGCCCCCCCTCCCTGGCGCGCGGAGCGCGCCGGGGGCGGCGCTGCAGGCGCCACGAGGGGGGGCCAGCGCAGATCCGAGGAATCTGCGCGGACCTCTGAACCTTTATGTCTTGTGTTGCCTTTGCTTCTTCGAGATGTCCGGGAACTCGAACTTCTCCCTGACACAGCCGCTCAGCTCCCGGCCGTCGTAGGAGAACGTGGCCTTGCAGT